ATCCCTAAGGTGGCAATTTGAGCATCCAATGCGTATATTAATTGTTATTTGAGCCTTTTAATCAATCATTTACAGCTTCCATCCCATACCATGTTTCATCCTAATGAGCAAGACCTCATCGATCTCTGAAAAATCGACCAATCAGCACTAAACAGACCTATTTGGCCAACAGTGAAGGACTGTAGTTGTCACTTGCTCTATTAAAGTATCAGTTTTATAGCCCACCATTTTTGTTAACAAAAAAAAAAAGAAAAGTAGAAAAAAAAATCGGGGCAGACCCATGTGATAAAGGTTTTATTACAATGAATCCCTTGTTCAACAACTTACAATTTCATCGTGCATGCTTTTGAATTCAATGAGTTTTGAGTAATGAAAGTATACACACTATCATCTAATGCGAACTAGACACAGCCCATTTGGACATAATTACTCTCATATGAGTTAAGGTTGAAGGCACTTTTATTCTTGAGTTTTGAAGCTTTTCCTTCTTATCATTTCAATATTTAATGTCTTTGTGCATTGCTCGATAATTGAATATTTACTTGTGCCATAGTTTGAGTTGTGTTAACCTTTTCAATGCGTACCTGACTTCTATCTTGGCTTTACCATCATATCATATCATTTTGCTTATTCATGTAATCCGTTGGTCCTGTCAACCTTTATGCTTTAAATCGCGTCAGAAATTCCGTTGGTCATGTCAGCCTCTATGCCTTGACCCGCGTTAGAAATCCCGTTGGTTATGTTAGCCTTTATGCTTTGACCTGTGTCAGAAAATTCCGTTGGCCATGTCAGCCTTTATACTTTGGCCCACGTCAAAAATTCCGTCAGTCATGTTATCTTATATGCATTGACTCACGTCATAAATTTTGTCGATCATATCAACCTGTATGTTTTGACCACATCAGAAAATCCCATTGGTCATGTTAGCCTCTATGCTTTGGCCTACGTCAAAAATTCCGTCGATCATGTCAGCATCTATGCTTTGACCCACGTTAGAAATTATGTCGGTTATGTAAGCCTTTATGCTTTGACCCACGTCAGAAAATCTCGTTGGTCATGTTAGCCTCTATGCTTTGGCCCACGTGAGAAGATCTCGTTAGTCATGTCAGCTTTTAAAAAACCAAATTAAGAAAAAAAATTAAACCAAAACCAAAATTTTCGGTTCGGTTTTTGGTTAAAACCAAAATTTAATAATATATACTTTATTATATATATTATAATATATATTATATATTATGAAATTGAATTTTAGTATATTATATATTAATATATAAAATATATAATATATATTATATATTACATATAATAATAAAAAGTTCGGTTGATTCAGTTAATCGGAATTCTAATCCCAAAAACCGAAATATCCAAACTGATTTAACCAAAAACCGAAAAATTGTACTGAAAAAACCGAAACCGAAATTTAACCGAATAAAGCTCACCCCTCACCCCTACCCACGTAAAAAAATCCATTTGTCATGTCAGCCGCTATGCTTCGACCCACGTCAGAAATTTCGTTGGTCATGTCAACCTCTATGCTTTGACCCATGTCAGAAAATCTTGTTGGTCATGTCAGCCTCTATGCCTTGGCCCACGCAAAAAATTCCATAGGTCATGTCAGCCTCCATGCTTTGACCCGTGTAAGAAAATCCTGTTTATAAGTATAATTTCTTTGACCGACACTAGTATTTTAATCAAATAAAGTTGATATAAATGATAATAAAAAATTAGAGAATAGAGAAAGAAAAGAAAAGCAAAAAAAAAAAAGAATGAAATGAATGATAAATAATGTTTAAAAATCTTATTTTACATTGTGTTATGTCAAAAGCAGTTATTAAAATCGTTCAAAATGTTCTAAAAAAACTAGAGAATATTTATTGGTGTTTTGTGATTGTGCTTTACAAGAATTTTGAACCTTTGTCTTAATGATTGATTTGTTTGTCTCTAATTTGGTTTTCTTAGTGATAGATTTACTTTAATCCAGTTTTCACCAATTTCCCTTGTCCAGTTTTTGTAGATTTATCATGATCTAGTTTTTCACAGATTTACTTTGATATTGTTTTTGCATATTTACTCTGATCCAGTTTTCACAAATTTACCTTTATCTAATTTTCGTAGATTTACCCTGAGCTACTTTTTGCATATTTACTTTGATATAGTTTTAACAGATTTACCTTAATTCAATTTTCGCATGTTTGCTTTGATATAGTTTTCACATATTTACTTTGATTCAGTTTTTCGTATATATACTTTGATCAAGTTTTCGCAGACTTATTTTAATCTAGTTTTACAAATTTACTTTGACCCAGTTTCCACATATTTACTCTGGTCCAGTTTTTGCAAATTTACTTTCACCTAGTTTTCGCATATTTACTTTGATCCAGTTTTTCCGCATATTTAATTTGGTCCAGTTTCCGTAGATTTACCCTAATCCAGTTTTTCGTAGATTTACTTTGATCCAGTTTTTTCGTAGATTTACCCTGTTCCAGTTTTTGTAGATTTACCCTGATCCAGGTTTCACAGATTTACTGTGGTAAAGTTTTTTTTTTTTTTTTTTTTGCAGGTGTACCCTGATCCAGTTTTTGCATATTTACCCTGATTCTGTTTTTTGTAGATTTACTTAAATACAGTTTTTGCATATTTACTTTGATTCAGTTTTTGCAAATTTACTTTGATCTAGTTTTTGCAAATTTACTTTGATCCAGTTTCCGCAAATTTACTTTGATCCAGTTTTCGCATATTTACTTTGATATAGTTTCGTAGATTTACTCTGATCCAACTTTCATAGATTTACTTTGACATAGTTTTCGCGGATTTATTTTGATCCAGTTTTCGCATATTTACTTTGATCCAATTTCCGCATATTTAGCATGATCCAGTTTTCGTAGATTTACACTGATCCAGTTTTTCGCATATTTACCCTGATCCAGTTTTCGTATATTTACCCTAATTTAGTTTTTGCATATTTACCCTGACTCCACGAGGTTTTCACCTAGGAGGGCCATTTTTTTCAAAATATTTAGTTTTCACTAACTTTGTAAGGTAAACTGATAAGTTGCTTTATCACTATTACTTTTTTTTTTTAATTTCCTTTACGACAATTGTACCTTGATTCCAAATGTTCTTGATACATAGGAAAGGTCGCTTTACCAAGAGTAAGATGACCTGTACATAATGAAACATTGTTGTATGATAACTCCTTTTCGTTTCAATCCCCTCCCTCATCTTGCCCCTATTCCAAGCCCACCCTTTGGAAAAATCTCTGAGTGCTTTATTTTGGTTTTTGTTGTTTTGTAGTTTCCTACCTCACAACAAAGAGGGGTTGTTGTCAGCACTCGATTTTTGCTCGGTTCGTCGCTTGAACCCCAATTCACCCCAAATTCCCAACCAGACCCTTCCCATCCTTTTAAAACACTTAAAAACCCCAAAATCCCGACTTTCAGCCCTAAAGCCCTCAAGTTCACCATTAAACCTGCCCGATACCTATTTGATGAGCCCGACCAACCCCCACTTACTCCTCAACCATTATATCAGACACAACCACCAGACCTAGTACCTCCCAAAACACCTACCCGTAAAATTTTAGCTCAAAATTCCTCAGTTCACCTATTCATCAAGCGAAGATTCCATTCCGATGCCTCTTGTTAACCTAAGCACTAAAGTCCCAGTTCTCCTTCATCTTAACACATCTGAACCGATCAAACCACATCATTAAACTCCCAACACATCATAACACCTGCTCATAAAATTTTACCCCCAGATTCTCCTACTATCTCTTTTATCAAATCAAGATTTCGTTTCGAAACATTCTATTTACCTAAATTCCTATGATCTTAACCCTCTAAGATTGATAAAACCTCATCATCAGATCCTAGACACCCCCAAATACCCACTTGTGAAATCTCAGCTCAAAATACCTCCCTGTACCCTTCAATCACACCAAGACTCCATTTCAAGGTCTCAGATTGACCAGATTACAAATCTGCCCGATTCGGGCCTAATTGTCTCAATCTAACCTACCAATCACCTTAGACTATGCAGAAATCCTACCTTGAGAAATTTCATCCAAAATAGACATTGTTTGCCCTTCGATCACAAAAAAGATTTTGTTTCGAGACTCTAGATTGACCGAATCAAATCCCGTGCAGATCTGACCAATCTAATCCCAGTTGGACCAATATGACCTCACCAATCAACTTAGAATGTCCAAAAGCTCCACCCTGTGAAAATTCATCTAAGAATACCTTCATTTACCCTTCTATCTTAAAAGATTCCATTTCGATCAATTTTATCGGCACACACATGGACGACCCCACTCCGCGGTCAAATCCATCATAACCCTCTGATCATCAACCCAAAATGGCAAAAACCCCATCGTTGAACCAGAACCCCCATTCGACCCTTGGGCTGACTTTGATCTGAATTCATTCAAATTACCAAATTACCCTTGGATCGCCCCAAATCACCCAAATGCCATTTTAACCTAATATTGAAACTTTGGAAAACTTCCCAATTAGTAGCTTGTACTTGGGCTTAGTGCCACTTTAGTCCCTAAACTTTAAAGTGCGACAATTCAATACCCAGGCTCTCAAAACATGACAATCCAGTACCCGCTGTTAAATGTTAACCAACCATTAACTGACATTTGAAAAATATACAAATGCCCTTCAAGTGTCACCAAATTTTTTTTGTCAACTATCAAAACATTAACAAAAAAATTAACGGTCTCAAATTTTTGCCTCTTCTATTCAAAAAAGTTAGGGTCATTTAAATGCCCAATCAAACTTGACTCCAACTTTCTTGAATGGAAAAGTCAAAGATTTGGAACTATTAATTTTTTGTCAATGATGAGATAGTTGATAGAGAAAATTAAATAACTCTTTAAGTATTTGTGTCTTTTTCAATTGCCAATGAACAGTTGGTTAACTAAATTTTTAAAAGTTTGGATACTAAATTATTGCATTTTAAAGTTAAGGAAACCAAAGTGGCACTAGAAGTAAAAGATACTAATACGAAAATTTCCCTAACTTGATTTCATTTGAAAGGAAGGGAGACGGAATTCATTTTTTGAGACAGTATTATCTCCTTCGAAAGAGAACCAGAGCGGCGACAGTTCTCAGCTCGGTAACCTTTTCCAGCTCCGACGTATCGTCTCCCTTCTCCGAATTATTCATCTTCTTTCTGAAGCGGTGAATCCAGCGGCGGAGAACAACCCTCATTTGACACTGTTCATCTTCCACCTCTGGGCCTTTTCCACTCCCTTCATCGGATTCCTCTCCCTCTCTTTTATTCTATTTCTCTCTCTCTCCCATCTGCTTCTTGCTCCTCTTCCTTTTTTTTTTCTTTTACTTTTTGAATCCCCAAAAATGTTGTTCATCATTTTCCTCTCGACCCACGAACTAGCAGCAGCTAAAATCACCATCTGACCGAAATCCACTGATCGCCTCCTTCTTTTACCTCTCGACACCGAACCAGCGGTGGCGATCGTCTCAATCCTCCTCTCGTTAGATCCGACACGATCTCCGTCCGCTGTTGTAGCGAACCCAGGCCAAAACAGAATCAGGTAAGCTTCATTTTTTTTTAATCACCGCTTCTTCTTCCTATGCAGTGTGATCGGGATTTGAGGGGAAGGGGGAGATCCAACAGAACCACTTCATGTAGGTTCTCCGTCCCAACCCAATTGTTGGGAGATCGGATTTGAGCGTCTCTATTTTTTCTATGTTATCGGCCTCTATTTTATTTCTCTGACTCTCCTATGATGAATCGATTCTAGATGAGACAAAGGTTGCTGCAATATTAAAGTTAATGTTTTACATCTTTTTATTTAATTGATTTTCTATTGTGCTTGATATGCTTTAAGATTAGTGATTATTTGCTTACTTTGTTTCATTGTCCGTGGTTTCACTATACGTGGTTTGTTTAGGATGAACTTGTAGTTGTGATTCCTCCCACTCCCACGAATGCATCTTTTTGAATTGAATAGTAGTTTGATTTATTTAAGTTTAATCATGTTAAAAAATGCTGGGTTTGTCTTGAACATTCGGCTTCACTGAGGTAAGACAAGACTATCAATAGTGGACCTCTGATTACATAAGAGCAATTGGGCCATAAAAAAAACTAATAATAAGATATTGAAAAAATATCGTGATACCTTATTCTCTATTTGTTTTGCTTTATTATGCTATTAGTGAATTAAATAATTATATATTATGTGTTTGTTTGTTTGGGATACCATGTGGGTCCCACCTATTGGACCTAGAAGAGGGATGCTTAACCCTTTCTCTCTCCCATCCGAATCTTACCCAGGCTGGTTCAACCTGTGTCTCAAGCTTTGGAGTCGCTAATAAATCAATATGTTTTTTTGATGCAAATCCCGGAGGTCCCATCACCTCCAATTTCGTAATTGATGGGTGGCGATTCCATTCCCAGCCCAAGTGAGCCATTTTTTCGACACTCAGAGTGGCTAACAGGTTTGAGACATTAAGATTTACTAAAATTGAATCATTGATTGATGAAATGGTCAAACGAGGGATTTTTGGATGAAATTTGGTAGGTATCCATTTTTTAATGTTCTGAATCTAGTGGAAGCGGTGGACCTTTAAATCAGAGGTGTGGATTGACAAATTTAGTTTGCATTCAGGTTTTAGCTTATGGGTTATCAACCAAGGAGAAAGTCCAAAATGGAATTTTTTGGGAGGAATTTGAAAAATTTAAGGCTAGATTTGCTAGGTGCTTTAATTTGATGATTTTGGTATTGGGATGATTTATTGTGTGGTTTAATGATAAACGTCAAATTGAAATCTTAGTTGATTAAACGGTTAAACAAGGGAAATTTTGAGTTAAGATTTGATGTGTGGGCATGAATTAAGTGGATGGTTCTGATATGAAAAAATAAATGGTTGATCTTGGTCTTCGAGGTCTAATCATTCAAGGTTGTTGAAATGGGATTTTGATATTTTCAAGGTTTATCGTCATAGATTTGTGGTGGGATTTGCTACATTACAAAAAAATGTACATATACTAATAGTTACAAATTTGTTGGTTTAGATAGTTTTTACTAATGGAAAATTTTTATCTGTGACTATATGTCCTATAAAATACCAACACAATCATCAATTCATCACTAAAATCCTATCTATATTGACGGTCATCTTTGTTGATAGTTATAATACATTGGTATTTGTAGTTTTTACCGATGGTTATTAGATACATCGCTATATGTTTTATACAATACCATAGTTTTCAAGGCGTCTGGGCGACACTGGGGTGCCTAGTCGCCTCGGCGATAAAAATTTTATAATATGAAAAACTAACTTTTGGCTAGTTTCCTAGTTTTATATATCATTCAACATGTATGTTAATTGAAAAATAACAATTCTCTTTATTAAAAACATTAATTTTTTTCTAAAAATGTGGCAAAACATCACATCTAAAAGATAAAAATCTTTTACATATATTAATTTCATTATTTTMRAAAATAWTRCTACWWTAATAAGTATTTARYAGAGCAAATTCATATTAATTAGCAGCTAAAGAAGGTTATTAACTTTATATGATAAATATTCAAGATAGAAAGTAAAATAGAAAAAAAACAAGGATTGAGTTTCTGCTTTATTTAATTAGAGAGAGAATAGAAAAAAATAACTTTATTATTCTATTGTTACTTTCCCCTTTATTTTCTTTTCTCAAAACCCTTTGATCTTTTAAATTTCAGTAGTAAAACATTAAAACAAAATATAATTGATATATATATATATATAAATAGTATAAAATAAAATGTACTAATACATACATTAATAAGATACAACAATATAAATGATATTATAAAAGGCGCCCACCTTGTCATTTTTGGCGCCTAATAGAGCGCCTAGTTGTTAAAAGTTAAGGCGTTTGGGCTAGACACGCGTTGACAATTATGTACATTAATAAGATACAACAATATAAATTATATTATAAAATGTGTCAACCTTGTCATTTTTTCGTCTAGGTGGGCGTTTAATCGCCTAGGCGGGCGCCTAATTGCCTAGAAGGGAGCCTAGTTGCTAAAAGTCAAGGCGTTTGGGTGAGGCACCCAGCCAAGGGCGACTAGTCGCCTAGGCGAACGCCTTGACAATTATGTACAATACTGACAAGTATTGATATCTGACAACCTTTATTTTATACAATATTGGTGGATATTATCATATTGATATTCATCACTATATGTTTTATAAAATACTGACAGAAACATGGTCCATCACTATATGTCCATACTATACTAACAAAATCTATAACATCCCTATATATAAAATTAATGTTTTGAAAATTGGCTCGATAGCTAAACCGTATTTGCCTTCACATTATTGGTAATCGGTTCGACCTTTTGGATTGAATGGGTCAAATTGTTGCATGTTAGTATATTATTAATTATTTTATATATAATTTATATTTTTATTTCAAATTTTAATTTTTTATTTATATAAAATTATATATATGTATGTATAAGTTGATTCTAACTTTATTGACTAGTAAAATCAGGACGTACGGGGCATTCTAGTTTTTAGTCTAGTTTTAATCAACTCGTAACTGGGATTTTGGGCATTTTTTTATATGAATCATCCTTTTGAACCGAAATGTCAAACTATTGATATGTAAACTAATTGCCAAAGCGGTTTTGATTTCAGGTCGGTTCTTAAGACACTGAGTTGAACTATGGTTTTGAAAAGCGAACAATTTCACCCTAAAACAACTGTCCCTGGCCAAAAACCATTAATTTGCTCAATAATCCGCGGATGATCGGATCGTTTGACTGAACCGATGGCCAAAACGGTTCCTTGTCTGATCCGATTTTTAAAACCTTGGTCTAAACCATGCTTACCAGCTTCAGGACATAAGATAACACCCGCGCGCGGGGAAAGCTGCGCGCGAACCCTTTCTATGCTCTTCGTCTCTATCTCTGATGTTTAAACCCTTTCTATGCTCTTCGTCTCTCTCCCTCCGTTTTTTCTCTATTCGATCACATTTCTCACCTTTTCCACTCCTTCTTCCCTTCTTCCCTTCTTCCCTTCTTCCTTGCTCTCCAGCCGTTGGTTCTCTGTTCATCATCCCCACCGGTGAGAGCGGAAGAGTTGCAGCAGCAGTACATCGTTTACTCTCATTGACTCCAGCATAGGCCTAACCCTTATTCTCAGTGAAACTCGAGCCTGGAAACTCGCTTTCCTTCAGAAAATCCTCCCAGACTGTGATCTCCCCTGCCGCAGCGAACGAGTTCAGGTCCATATTCGATACAGGTGAGCTCCATTTTCGCAGTATTTTCTCTTAAATCACATTCCTCATATTCGCATCATCTCATCAAGTATATCTCTGTGTAATGGTCGGTATTCGGGGAGGTTATCAGAGCGTGGCAATGAGGCCATCACCAAACCGGCTTCTGAGAAGCATTTTGAAACCAACTCAATTCCGTGAAAGCCCAATCCCATGCTACGACTGTCCCGGTTCTTTTATTTATTTATTTATTTTTTTCTATTGTGGGCTCCAGGAAGAATTTTGGTCGATATTTTTAAGAAATTGGTCATTACCTGGTTTAATAATTATTGTTTTTCTCTTGGGAATATTACAGTGAATGTTAATGGCGTCGCTGTTTAATATTTACTTCTGTTCTCCATTCTATTGAAAATCAAATTTGCTTTGAATGAAATGGTCAAAGGGTGTTAAACCCTGGTATACGTATAGCAGTCCGTTTCTTGCAGCTTTTCCATTAATCAGTGATTGTTCTGCTTGCCATCTTCAAGATTTGTATTAATGCGATGTATGCTCTGTTGTTTTGATCATCGATGCTTAGTTTGGATGCTAGATTTTTGTTCTGGGAATTGGGTTAAATGGCCATGGTTGTACCCCCCTCGAGACTGAGATGAATATGGCTGTGCTCAAGCTAGACAAGAATGAAGTATGAATAAAATCAATTTAATAAAAAAGGGGAAGATGATCATACAGAAAATATGAAAGAGCTGAAGTGATCCCATATGTAGGCATATGTTAAACCTCTTATAAGAGTTAGAATTATTAAATCAACAATGATAGAAAGATACTAAAAAAATCAAGAGAGTGGTTTCTGAAGTGGGCTGGATGCCTCCCTTTTGTGTATGCATGTGTCTATGTGTGTGTGTGGGGGGGGGGGGTGAAATTTCTTGCATTGGCCAAATAGTTGCAAAATTGTCAAGTGCTTTTCCTGTTTTCTTTTGTTTTTGTTTTCTCCCTTTAACAAGTCATTGAGTTCAGTTAGCAGAAGTTCTGAGAAACTGAGGGATTGGGCCTAAAACCTCCTGAAATATATCATGGCTGAGGTTTTGACCGAGTCACCTTAAAATCTTTGATGAGCCTTGTATGTGTTTCAAGATGACTTGTAAGCTTTGTGACAGCATGGTGCTCTGTTATTCCATGTTTGCATTCAATAGTATTGAGCCTTATGTCATTCTGCACTTCTAGTCTTCTAGATTGTCCATCAGGTCGCTTGGTTGACCCTTTTTAATTATTTTAATATTACCTCAAGGAACATCATGTTTATATGTTGTCTGGATCTAGGTGTAAGACACTAGATGGTTGGTGTAACATCTGTACATGTTGGTAGGCGAGACATAATATCTGGGAGTGCAACTTTGGTGGGCTAAGTTCCTTCTGAAGCCCAAATCCCAGGTGTGGAAGTCATTATCTAACTTGTTTTTATTTGAGAGAAAGTGTAATCGATTGTATTAAGAATCAGAAAAGTACAGTATATGATATAATGTACAAGAAAAGCCCAACACAGAGATTACAAAGGTAAGTGTCTGTCACTAAATAAAACTTCCCTCTGAGCACCTGACTTGCTAGGTTGTCTTCTAAAGAGTTTAGTTCCCAAGGAATCCAGCTGAATTTAAACAATCAAGGAATTCAAAAGGTCTCTTGCCTCAGTCATATCAATACTTTAAACCTTAGTTGAAGGAGGAATGGAGGTGTGAGGTAGCAGAAGAGAGATTCACCAGTCAGTCATTGCCTGTCTGAATAATGAGGTATTATATGGAGGGAGAATTCGAAGTAGTGGGAAGGTGGGGAAAGGAAGTCTCGTTCGAAGCAAAGCAATACAAACTAGAAGAAGTAAAAATGAGGTTTCTGGTGTTTCTGAAGATAAGAGAAGAAAAAAAGAGCCACGGTGTATCTCCAAAGGGAGGTAGCAGCATGGCTGAAGGGTTTCCAAGATGTAGCTTTAGTGTCAAGGAAAACACAAGCCTGGAAGAACTCAATCAAAATCAATGGAAAGGAGTTTGTAGCTGAACTCGACTAAATAGGAAGGGCTGGTTTATAACAGTTTCAGAATGGTTCGGTGAAGGTAGAAGACAAATGATTTGTATTCCCATGGGAAAACAAAGCAAGGGGTGGATGCTGTTCGTAAAGGAATTGCAGATGTTCTTATGGAGAAACGAAAACAGGCCAACGAATATCCAACCCGACCAAGCACAGGAAAATCAATCACATATAGTTGGTGAGAAGGAAGATCAAACATACCAGAACTAGCGCAAAAAATATGTGATACTTGCAAACAAAAGAGTAGGCAGTTGGGGATGTGTCGCAGAGGAGATTAAAAGAAAATTGGAAGTGGATGGAAGCTTTGTTCGTCGACCATTTCAAGAAGATAAGGCAATACTAGAACTAGAAGCAGACAATCGGGTGGAAGAAATACACGCGCTTCCCATTCAGACTGTTGAAGGAGTAATGGTGAACAGTCAGTTGTGTCCGAATGCAAATCGTGTAGATCAGATAGAAATCTTCCGCATCAAAGTGCTAGGGCTCCCATTTCATCTTTGGTCCTGTGAAAACTTCAAGAAAATCACAGATCTGTGCGACAGAGTCCTGGAGGAAGTGGCGTATCTAATATCAGCTGATGTGGCAGCTGGAGGGAGTGGAAATAAAAGAACAAATTTTGAAAGGGCGCCAAAACTGGACCAAAGGTCTAAACTGGTCGAACCAGATAACTTAAACAGGTCATGTGACCACTTAAAATCACATGGGCGCAGGCCGGCCCAAAGGCTTGGGGATGGTTGCTCGGGTCTATCATCGTTCAAATCAACCCCTGCAACCTCCTCTATTGCAGCGGTCACGGAAAATCTTTCTAGAACCCCTCTAAAAGCAGCCGACGACGCTGGGGTAGGAACCGACCGGTCAGAGAGCAACTGGAAATGGATGCCGGTTGCAAAAACAAACTCTAGACAAGTCGAACCCGAAATTTAATAGGCCCGAGCGTGAAGACTCTAAGGAAGAAGATGATTGGGAAGATCCAAGGCAAGAAGATGTCTGGCACGATGAAAGCAGCATTGGAAGTGTTTCACCCACTAAAACTTACAATTTGTGGAATGGTGAGATAACAGGGACGCAAATATTGTTTGAAGACCCCTCTAGAATCTCTGTGTTGTCACCAGAAGAAGAAATTTAGGTGAGACTTCCCTCATCCCCTAAGGTGGACCTAGTTGTAGCTGACAGTGATCCAAGAGAAATACCAAGGGAGACACAAATTCAGGATATCCAAGATAGAGAACCGGATATCAGCATTATCCGAAGCACAGATACACAAGAGGAACAGAAGTTAGATGATATCCCAGCTTTACCTGTCAAGGACTCTCAATCAGTCGGCTTCGATCAAAGGGAGGTTTTGGACGTGCCGAACCAGGGAATCCCTACACCTTTATCTCCTGTTCCATTTTCCTCTCCGTTGCTTCCTTCTAAAGAGGTCTCTAATTTGTTCTTGGCTACCTGTGCAGGTCCTGTCATAACCCCACCTACTATGGAACTCTCAATCCGAAGTGCCACAATTTTAGAGCCAAAGAATCTTCTAGGAGATGGAGTAGAGGAGGAGAGGGCTAGGGCTATATCATTAATCCTGGAAGTTCTAGCTAACCCAACCCTAGGTATGGATAGTGCTGATGTTAGCCTAAACCCACTCACTACCCAGACAAAGCAAACCCAGAATGAGACCCTGGAGGGGACAAAGGAAGATGGGCAGGAGGGAAAGGAGGGGTTAGAAGGAGATAGGGTGGGTGGTACAAAGGCAAAAGGAAAGAAAGTTTACCTGAGAAAAAAGAGTAAGCAAAGGGAAAGGAAAATGAGTGAGATTGAGAATCTTAAGAGTGGAATAAATTATGAGAAGGAGGAGAATGGGAAGAAAAGAAGAGGGGAGTGCTGAGAAGTACCAACCCAGGGGTGTCACAAATCACTAAGATGAAAGTAATAAGTTCGAAAGAGAAGGTTGCTGAGAGGGTGAAGCAAAGAGAAGGTTGCTGAGAGGGTGAGAGGGTGAGA